CAGGGCTTGTAGGCCATGTTGAGATGATTTATATTTAATCTAACAGCAACAGGAAGCCATTAAAGAGATTTAAGCAGGAATTTGATGTGATATAATTTGTATTTTAGAAAGCTCTTTCGACTACAGGGTAGAGAATAGTTTGGAGAGGAACAGAAGTGAAAGCAAGAAGACCAGTTAGGAGGTTGTCACAATAGTTAAGGAAATGACAGAGACTCTGATTAATGCATTTCAGGAGTTGGGTGGTCACTTACCAAAAGAAGAAATTCTGGGGAAAATTTCTTCCCCAGAGGGAGGATTATGAGTTTCCTTTTGAAGATGCTGTATTTGAGACATCCAAAAGAAGGTGTCACCTAGGTAACTGTATTTATGGGTCAGTAGCTCAGCCTAAAAGCCTAGGCTGGAGATAGAGATAAGGAAGTCAAATCACACTGGCTCAAGTGAAGAGGGTGACTTGGAGGGTGTAAAGACGGGGGCCAAAGAGATCAGTTTGCTTTCTGTTCCTAGAAAAATAAAAGTGTTACACCCTAGAGATACATAAATATTTTGAGAGTTTTTAGTTTAGTGAATTTCCCTCAAAAAGACAGGGAACATACAAGAAAGCACAACTGATGATCAGCCATGTATGTAAATTACATATGAAATTTTAAAACCAACACCCCCATGGTAGCATTCTACATATACAACCTGTTCCCCAAGGCTCTCAAATCAAATTACAGTGTCTTTGCACTTTCCTCATTAGGAACAAAGGGTAAAATCGAGTTGCTGATGCTCTTAGAAATTTCTGAAGGTGAGAGACAGAGATGCAGCATTCTGGATTATAGAGCTGGGAATGTGATAGTTGCAAATCTCCATCTCCTCCAGAGTAGCAGTCACAGAGCATTTCTAATTGATTAGGCTGAAAGAACTGAGGCTTTGGCAGAAGCCATTCTCTCCTTCTCCCAAGATTCCCAGTAGAATTAACATTCCAGTATCTAGGCATGTACTAGAATCACAATAAGGAAGAAAAAAATCGGGACATCGTGTGGCACTCATGAAAATCATACAAGATAAGAAGTTTCTACTAATAATGAGAAAATGAATGAATAAAGGGGAGATAGGTCAAATGTTCAAGAGCATGGTCATTGTCTGTTAAAACATATTATGTAGCTTCAATAATTAAAACTATTTGATAATAAAGAAGAAATAGATACAAAGATCACTGAAAGAGAATAGAATGAAAGTAGATAAGCAAGTATAGAAATAGTTTGAGATAAAAGTGGCATCTCAAGTTGAGGAAGAAAAGAGGGATTATTCAACAAATGAGTTTGCACCAACTGGCTAATCATTTGAAATATAAGAAGGGCTACATCCCTACCCCATTCCCTAAATCAAAATAAAATCAATTGGACTGAAATATTTGAAACTCTAAAAATAAGAGAGATCAGGTGTTGAAAGAAGATGATTTCAGCTTTGAGGTGCCTGTGGGACATCCAAGTTGAGCTATTTTGGGGAGGCACTTGAGATGAGTGTGACACTCAGGAAGGAGATAGGAGCTGAAGATAGAGATTTCAAAATCATCTGCATATATATATATACACCTACATACACATAGTATATGTATATACTTAAGCCATCAGGATGGATGAGATTCAGAAATTAGGTAGAATGAGAAAGGGGCCTAAAACAGAATCCAAAAAACACCTACATTTAAGAGATGGACAGAGAGGAGGCAACAAGGAGAAAGAGTTCCTAGAAGTAGGAGGTAAACCAAGGAGAGGTTTCACCCAAGTCACAGGAAAAAGGTTTGAGTAGGGAGTGTCCAGCAATGTCAAATGTTTCTGGGAGGGCAAGTAAGACAAAAAGAGAAAAGTATCCATTTGACATTGTACAAGAAGGTTAGTAAAAGTAGATTTAGAAGATGGATGATAGTGAGTACAGATAACTCATTCACCAAGTGTGGAATTAAGAAGAGGAGAATGACACAGGACAAGTGTTAGAAGGTGTTATGGATTGACTTGTGTCCTCCAAAAAGATATGCTGAAGTCCTAATTCTCAGTATCTCAGAATGTGCCCTTATTTTTAAATAGTCATTGTAGATTTAATTAGTTAAGATGAGGTCATACTGGAGTAGGGTAGGCCCTTAAACTAAAATAATAAGTGTCCTTACAAGAAGAAGAAAATGTCATATGAAGACATATACACATAGGAAGAATGCCAAGAGAAAAGAGAGGGAGAGATCAGAGTGATGCAGCTGCAATTCAAAGAACGTCAAAGATCAATGGCCACCACTAGAAACTAGGAAAAGGCAAGGAAGAATTCTACCTAGAATAGAGTCTCAGAGGGAGTACGCTCCTGTCAACATCTCAATTTCAGACTTCTAGCCTCCAGAACTGTGAGAGAATAAATTTCTGTTGTTGTAAGCCACTCAGCTTGTGGTACTTTGTTACAACAGCCCTAGGAAACTAATACAGAAGGAGATGCAAAGGAATTGTTGTTGTTTTCTTTTTTGTTTTAAAAGTTGGGAGAAACTTATTCATGCTTTAAAAATCTGATGGGGTGAGCCAATCTAGAAGGTGAAGGTAAAACATAGTAGATAAAACAAACCAAATAGATTAGTGGTTACCAGAGGGGAAGCGGGTAGGGAGAGGGCAAAGGGGGTAAGGGGGCACATATGTACGGCGACAGATAAAAACTAGACTATTGGTGGTCAACATGATGCAGTCTATACAGAAATTGATGTATAATAATGTACACCTGAAATTTATACAATGTTATAAGCCAATATGACCTCAATAAAACAATTTAAAAAAAAACAAATAGGATGCAGGAGACTGGCTAAATGTTCACCATTTCCTTTCCCTCTTGGGCATGCAAAAAGAACACATTTCTTGGACTCCAATGTGGTTAGGAGTGGCCATGTGTCTCAGTTCCGGTCCTCAGAACTAATAAGTTCCACTTACAGGTCTGACCCATACAAACTTTCTAAGCACTATCTTCTTTCCCCTCCCCCATCTGCTAGCTGAATATCTATGCCCAGAGAAACACTGTTGAAGATGAAGGAGCCTATGTTAGCCTGAGCCCGCAAGGAAAGAACAAGTCTCCCTCCCACTCCATGTTGCCCATTGGGTTTGACCTGAGCAAGAAATAAAGGTATTATATTAGGCCAATGAGCTTTCTAGGTTTATCTGTTATAGGAGCTAGCATTATCTTAACTAATTTAACGGAAGTTCCTGAAATGACAGGAGGTGATGGGATACAAAGCAAAATTTGGAGGACTTGGTCTTATACAGAAAAGGGACACATCTGTTACAACAGTAGACAAATAAGAAAAAATGGAAGCAAATATAAGTTAGTGGGTTTAGAGACAGAGGTTTAGGAAATTCCCACCTGATGCCTTTTGTTTTTTATCTGAAAGGTAGGAGATGGCATGTTTTACTGAGAGTGAGAGAATATATACGAAAAGATTGGAGGTTCAAGGAGAGTGAAGAAGTGAAGAAGAAGAAGAAATAACTCTTGTGGTGAACAGAAGAACTGAGCAGAGAAACAGACTGACAAGAATCATTGTAGGCCCACAGTGTTTATGTTCACTGAACAAACATTTACTGACCTGCTCTATACAAAGCACCTGTTCTAGGAGGTGGTGTTACCACAGTAAAGACAGACAAGATCCCTACTCACATGAAGCTTGCATTTTCATGGGGAGAGACAAACACAAAGGAAAATATCATATAATGAAATTATTTATTGAATGAAAGAATTCCATTTAAGCCAGATATTAATGGACATAAGTCTTATTTTAATCTAGAAGCAGCTTGGCCAATACTAGTAAATGACAAATCTGTTCTAGACAGGTCACGTCTATACATTCACTTGTAGAGGACATGACTCTTACATGTCTATCACAAACCCCAGATGAACAAAGTAACCAGAAGACTTATTCTAGGTAACATGTATCCCAAAGATCACAATGATTTGCACTGTATCACTCTGACATCAGCTGACTAGGCCATGGATGTGTATCTTACTTAAAGGCAGCTGTTGCTGACTGGCCTACAAGAGAGATTGGCCTGAATGAAACCTCAGCTTTATCATCTACCTAGCTTTAAGTTCTATGTCTGAGCCCCAAGGTAGGTGGGTCTGCTTATTCTTGGTATCAGTCTCAAATGTTAAGGAAAACTTTAATATCCTTAGTTTCTCTTAATAACTCTATATAACTCTAACTCTATCTACTAAGACTTTACTTAAGGTCTTCTTGAACCTACATAGGTACAGTGAGATGAGCACAGGTTTGAGAGTCTCACAGATTTGGATTTAAATTCTAGTTTTGCTATTTATTAGCCATGTGGCATTGGGCCCATTGACAAACTTCTATCTGAGACTTATAATTTCTTCTATAAAATATGGACTCTCCAGAGTAGTTTATGAGGATTAAATGAGGCCATATATGTTAAATTCTCATTAGGATCCTTCATTTCCTTCCTTACATTTGCAGTCTCTCTGGAGGTAAAGGAAGTCTTAAGCACACTCCCCAGTCAGGAGAATCTCACTGACTTTAACTGGTCCTGAAAAGATCACCTTCGATTCTAATCTAATCTAACCCTACTCTTCCAGGACTTGGCAAACAGACCACTTGATAATTTTACAATCTTAGATCCCAGGTTTCTCCAAGACTTCATCTTTATAGATATAATTCCCAATTTTAAAATACATGTAAATTCTTCAGTTGAAACAAAATTTGAAAAATGGCTTCTTAGGACAGAATCCAACCTCAGTTGCTTAAGAAAAACTACACACATTGCCAACTTATAAAGAGACCTCAGGTTCTTGGTGGGAACCCTTTTCTTTTTGGGGGGTTTTGCATTTGGAATATTTGCTGTTTTACCAGAGGAAACAATAAGTTAAAAACAAAAGGTCATTTTATAAGCTATATTTTAATGCTCTGAAAATTGGAGTTAACAAAATAAATTACAGTGGAGATATTGAGAAGGTAGGGAAAACCTAACACTCTTTAGGAGTTAAAAAAAGTCTTTTGTCCCGTGTTGAATAATCTGCTAAATAAATAGTTCCTACTGTATAACATCAGGAGACACATTACAGTTAAAGGAGCCCAATACCTGCATTGAACTGATAACACACATCTCTATAACTTTGGGAAAAAAGTAATGAGTATGGCTGTGGATCCTTATTTCTGCCGTCTCCTCTGGGGAAGATAACTTTTTACGCAAACTCACTTTACATTTCCACCACATTGTCTTCCTTTTCCAAACAGGATATAAAATGATTTCACAGGCACCTCCCGAAATGAGCACTGAGAACAACTTCCTCTCACACAAAAGCCTACCCACTTCTTGAAAGAATCTAAAATTAGAAAGGCATTCTCTTTCACAAAAATGGAAGCAACGCTGCTAACCTACTTTGCACGATTCTTCAAGGCAGGCATAACTACCTTTCCTCAGCTTCCTTGAGCTATGACATTCTGCAAAATATTTCAGGCTACCAAACCTCTAATTGGCCCCCTTGGAAAGACCATTTTCTCACCATTAATGCTAGGCCTTAGAATGATTCCATCCTTTCAGGAGTTCCTTATCAGAAGTTAGCGGATTCTGTTCCCTGGACTTGTTTGCATGCACAATGCCAGCTGTGACTTGGGAAATTGAAAATTATCTTTTTCTCTTTCAAGTGGGTCATTTTTAATTTCTTTAGACTGCATTTAAGTTACACTCAAGAATTTGACTGAAGAGGCAGCACTGTGCAGTGGGAAAAGGGCTGACCTAGGAGTTACAGATGAGTTCTAGTCCCGAGTCCTCTGTTTACTAACCACATAGTCATGGAGAGTAGTTTAATACTTCTGAGTTTCCTCCACTATAATAAACACAATGAAAACAACAACAATAACAAACACAGTATTGGGTCTACCTCACAGGGTAATCAAATGAGAACATGTGACAATAATAATAGTTACATTTGCAAAGTGTTTACAGTTTACAGAAAGCTCTTTCTCATGCATTGGTTCATTTAATTCTGCAGGAGCACTTTGAAAATTATAAATGGCTATGTTAGGCATTATGACAATCACATGCATAAAATTTCTCTCAAATCAGCCAGGCCCAAAAGGCATAGCAAACCTCTTTAAATGTTTATGGCATTCATTCCAATTTATATGTAACCCCATTTGTTGTACTTTCATTCCTTCTATGGTCATTTTTTTCTTCTAATATATTTTAGGAAAGTAAAAACCATACAATTCTATGAGAAGAAAGCTATATAAAATGTATCAGTTTAAACAGCTCAGATTTTAACTTATTCATTTATTTATTTATTGTTTTATTTTTTAATAGTATATAAGCATGCTTTATGGTAAGACTTATACAAGACACTGTTCCAAAAAATGTAAACATAAACCCACCTCATTGCTTCTTAGGTAAGAACAGTATTCATAGTCATAATAATAATAGTTTTATATCAATAAATACATTTGAAAAATGTGGTAGTCATTAGTGCTGCTCACCAAATATTTATTTCTCCTCCTTCCTAGCACATAGTGGTATTGCTTTCCCTACACACAGACACACACACACACACACATTAGGTATGGCCATGTGACTAGCTTTGGTCAACAATGCGTGAGTGGAAGTGACATATGTCACTTCTGGGTGGAAGCTTTAAGAGCTGGTACATAATGCACCACATACTCTTTCCCTCTGTCAAGGCAACCAGCAATGCTAGAGATGGCATTTATTCTGTCAACCTGGGTCTTGGAATGATGATGACATGAATCAGACCCTCAAGCAACCAAAAATATGTAGGGAAACAAGAAATAAATTTTTGTTATTTTAAGCCATAAGATTCAGGGTTGTTTTTTCCTGCAACACGATGGTCCATACTAACTAATACAGACTTAATGGTTACAAATTTGATCTCTGAATTCAACAAGATCAAGTTTAAGTTCCATTTCAGGTGTATGATTTTAAATAAATTATAGAACCTCACTGAGCTTAATTTCCTCATTTGTAAAGTAGGCAAAAACAATACCTACCTCATAGGGTTGTTCTGAAGATGAAATGAAGTCATATATGTCTATAAAAAGTGTCTAGCACACAGTAGGTGCTCAGTGAGTGTTTACCGTGTGATTCTCATAACAATCCTGTAAGGTGAAAAGGACTTACTATGCCCATATTGAAGATGAGAAAATAGAGGCCAACAAACAAATATATTTCTCTTGAACAAGGTCACAGTGTTTGTTACTGGCTATATCTAGAATATAAATCTACTAATGCCTGGCCCACTGCTGGATTTTCAAATGTAAATTATCTCCTGAAATTAGAATAATTGCTTGAAGGCAGTGGTTTACAACCTAAGGGCTCTTAACACCCAGGGGTCCATAACAGCAGTAATAAAAGTCTTTGATCTCTTTTACTACTTCCAACAGCCTAATATATAGCATACATTTCCCCGACAAAAAGACTAAACAAATTTACAAAAACATCAAGTCTCTTATATTTAACAGCAATCATATCAACTCAGTTTGGAAACACAATTATCTAATGGTAAATAGAAATCCTTATTGATAATCCCTGTGCCTTTGATTAATAGAAATAAGATCACTAATTAACGAGTTAATAAATGCCATTGATATGAAAATGGTTCACATGATGATAACTATGGGAGAAAAGGAGATGTGGGTAATAATGTGTAACAACAAAAGGCATTCTTGATAGTGAAAAGGTTGTGGACCACTACTTTTTAAACACTTTATTGAGATGTAATTCACATACCATATAATCATCCTTTTAAAGTATACAATTTAATGGGTTTTACTATATACACAGAGTTGTGCATCTATCACCATTATCTAATTACAAAATATTTTTGTCACCCCAAAAAGAAACCCCAGGTCCTGGCAAACACTAATCTATTTTCTATCTCTATAGATTTGCCTATTCAGGACATTTCATATAAATGGAATCATATAATATGTGGCCTTTCGTGTCTGGTCTCTTTCACTTGTCACAATGTTTTCAAAGTTCATCCACGTTGTAGCATGTATCAATACTCCATTCATTTTTATGGCCAAATACTATTCTATTGCGAATATACATTTCATTTATCCACTCAGTTGATGGACATTTGGGTCATTTCCACTTACTGGCTATTATGAATAATGCTCCTATGAATATGCATGTACAATTTTTTATGAAGACATATGTTTTCATTTCTCTTGGGTATATAACCTAGCAGTGGAATCTCTTGGTCATATGGTAACTCTATGTTTAACTTTTTGAGGAACTGTCAGACTGTTTTCCAAAGCAGCTGCAACATTTTACATTTCCAACAGCAATGTATGAGGGTTGCAATTTCTCCATATCCTTGCCAATACTTGTTATTGTCTGCCTTTTTTATTATAGCCATTCTAGTAGGCGTGAAGTCATGTTTCATTGTGGTTTTGATTTGCATGTCTGGGTCACTATTTCAAAAATAATCTGTTTTAGTATAAACTTAATTACAGAACCTAAGATAGTTTTCAGACTCAAACATAGTACAAGAAAAAACAATAAGTTACTTTACAGAAAGTCCACTGCCCTTCTTCTAAGGAAAATTTTTTTAACAGTGAATAGGTTTACATAGGTACAGTAAATAAATCATTATTTAAATATTTGTTTGTTTATATTTTACTTATAGCCTACCTCATTCCAAAAGAAGTTGAAGCAATTAAAAAAATAGACAACTGGGGCAAAATAAGTCAAAGATTAAAGTGAAGAAAAAAATCCAAAGTAAAATGAAGGCAGAGGCAACACAAAACTTTTACAAACACAAAATGTATAACAGAAGTTTCTAGGAAATTGTCAAAAGTAGGCCACAGATGTGGTTTTTTAAGTTAATGAAGGATACATGTTAAGTTATATACTTATACTATCCGTATGATAACTGCATATCAGTTACCCAGAAGAAATAAAGACATTTCCTGGTACTAAAGGTGGAAGAAAAAAATCCCTGTAGAGTTTAATGAAGAGATACAAAATAGTGTGGTAAAACTTCCCAAACTACTATTCTGTCGACCTATTTCATCAATATCACCAGGAGTGCTTGTTTTTTTTTTTTTCCCCAGCTTTAAAATGTTGTGACATTTTTAAAGCTACAATTTGTTTTATTTTATTTTTTTATTTTATTTATTTTTTTAATTTTTTGTTTATTGCAGTAACATTGGTTTAAAACATTGTATAAATTTCAGGTGTACATCTTGTTAATAATACATAGTCCCAGGAAGTACCTCAGATCTGTAGTTTACAAACACCTCAGATGATTCTTTTGTGCAGTCAGGCCTTGGAACCAGCTTCATAGTGTATAATATTCTCAGTAGTATCTAGCAGTAAATATAATGAATTTCAACAGCTGCTTTTCATAGTGTTCTTCAAAGCAAGTAAATGAAACACAAAACTAAAGCATGCTCTATGAAACAATTAGCCAAAGCTTGGGAACTAAGTACACAGCTTTTCAATGGTCTGGCCCAATCCAGGAGTAAAATATGCAGTATAACCCAGAAAAATATTCATTCACAGAAACTCAAAATTTTGCATAAAATTTCAATGAGTACACAGGCTTCCTGAAGCCCTGCCCCTGTTGAGCTTCAGGTAAGGACCTCTGCTCTCAACTACTGCTTTTCAAACTTTAATGTGTATACAAAACACCTAGGGAATCCTGTTAAAATGCAGATTTTGATACAGTAGATCTGGAATGGGTCCTGAGATTCTCCATTTCTTCCAAGCTCTCACCTGATACTGATACTGTTTTAGAAGGATTGCTCCTGAGGAACTGTGTATCCTTTCAGACAATCTTCCATGAATATATGGTCTTATCATTAAGCTTTCACAAAAACGCAAAATTATATTCTAAGGCAAAAACCTGGAATGCAGCTATATTGTGTTTCCATCCAAAATCAAATGTTTGGGTTAACTTTTTGATGCCTATCTACATGGCAGAAAAAGAGTTTTCAGAGCAAGAGAATTTATATATATATATATATATATATATATATATATATATATATATATACA